TACGGTAGGCTGAAAAACCTTGGTTCACAGGGCTTAAAATGAACTCAGTACAGACGCCCGGGGCGAAGAAATGGGCATATCCCACAAAGCTTGACTCAGCCACAGTCTCCTGGCCTCTTGATAGGCAAATCCCTTTCTAGGCAGAAGTCCAGAGGAGTTAATCTGGCAAGCGAATCCTAACATACATTATGGGGAGCCTATCGAAAAGCATGGTTAAAAATGCAACTAACAGCTCAGAGAAACAATTTATTCAGAGTTACTGAAGTGAGTTCACTGCTACAAAAAAGGGTTCACAATCTGACCCAGGGTACTTGGTTTCTTTGGAATAGAAGCCTCTGTCTTTATTCACATTGAAATAGAAAGTAGCGTAACCTAATAAACCTAATTCTAGTTACTGAAATACACAATTTGTTCCTTTTAATTAGATGATGTAGTTTTCTGCTGCCATCAGGCATTCGTCAGCACATAAAATGCAAATACGTGAGTAGGCTGCGCATAGACATCCTCTCCCAAATCCAGCTGTGCCAGTGAAAGAGGTTAATGACTCCGACGACTCATCATCCTCCTCCTGCTGCAGACTGTCAGTGCAAAGATCTGCAGAAGGAGTTGTTCATGCTTCTTAACTCGCTTCTGCTGAAAAGCAGCCTGACATCCTAAACTGCCCACATCCCTGAACTGCCCCAGCTAGCCTTGCTTGGCTTGACTGGGACTAGGGAGCACGGACACGAGCTGATCCATCATTATGTTGGTGAGAAGGTGGCAGCTGAAGGCATGAGCGCTGGCAAGCAAGTGCAGGCAGTGACCCACTCCACCAAGGCAGCTGGATGGGAAGGACTGCTGTCCGTGACTGCTGGCCTTCTGCAGACAGGTAGCAGCAAAAGAGAAGGCTGTCAGGAAGTGATTCCTTCAGATTAATGGTCTTATAAGCTGTGGAGCTAGAAGTTACATTACAGCAAAAGTTAATGATAATGATGTTATCACCAGTCAAGAGCAAACGCACTAAAATAGCACACAGTGGTACTAATGAAATTCTTCAAAGCCTTATTAGCTGAAAAGATGAAAATGATTTTCATTCAGGAGAAAGGGAAGCTTTTTTTTTATTATAATAGATAATGTTTTCTGCATTTAATTTGCACAGCATTTTTATTAGCAAAGCATTCATTTTATATATGTGTGTGTATATATAAATATATATAAATGTACATGTACACTGCAGAGCACAAACTTTTAAAGTAAGGATGTCCTTCAGGCTTAGGTGATTATACTGCTGCTGAATTTTTGCTATACTCCAGTGGCATTCTGCTGGAATGAGATTCACCCCTATGCAGAGGGCAAGCATAAAACCTAAGTACCATGTAAGTCCTACTTCAGTCTTAAGGACCTGGTTCTAATTCCATTGAATTAAATAGCAATATTTTCATTGTCTTTCAGTAGGAGCTGTTTCAAGGTCAATAAATGGGATCAGTCCTATACATGCCTTTTGCTGGCCCAACTGGAATGATACTTGAAGGAGCTGGATGTAAAACGCTTGGGAATAAAAAGAGATGAAATAATACCCTGGTAGTAAAAGCCTTGGTATTTCTGGAGAATTTGCTTACTGTAGATACTGGAACAAAAACATTAATTTGTTTCAAAGATTCAAGAATGTTAGGTAAATTTATTCTAACCAGGAAGCTGGTCCTACCCAAATCTGACTTGAAGAGTACTGTGTGTACTTCTGCCATATTCTGTGTAATATAATGCATAATACTGAGAAATGCAGTCAAACCTATTTAGAGTTTTATTATTATTATTTCTGCAGTACTAAGAGAATTTTGGATACCTTAGAGTACTAAAACATCATGTTTTCTGCTCTGGCAGCATTAACAGGGCTTCTGCATGTTTTTCTGCTGCATGATTTACTCTTGCTAGGTAACATGATGGCATCTATGCATCTAAAAAGTGCCTGCCCAGAAACTCATTTATATTTAATAAATTCAAACTGTTTCGCAGCTGATTTCCCATTACAGATGAGAAAGCTTCAGATAAGACCACATTCACAACACAAGGCAATGGAGAACTCTGCGCTCAGACTTTATGCATCTTACAGGGACTCTGGGCCACAGCAGTGTGTTTCACTTCCCAGCTTGTACAGAGAAATAAATATATATTCGACTCCTTCTAGAATAACCTTACACCCCACTGCCAACTTTGCAAGTGTAAAAATACTGTGTGTGTGCTCAGTAAGTGTTTTTCAAAGGCTCTGACCTTCCATAAATGAAATCCAGATTCCTCAGAACTAAGCAGAGGTGGAAGAATAGGCCTACGGCACGTTTGTGTTTAACCTTGCCTGTTTCAGCAGCAGACTAACTCAAAGAAAGCACAGAAGAGATTTTTTAATAATAGAAAAAATTTCTCTACTTGTTTTTTTTTTTTATTATTCCACATGAAAAGCAGATGATTTGCCCCCTTGACAAACTTACAAATGAAGAACTTCAAAGAGAGAGCGTACATAAAGAATTTCACCCTCACACGTCCAGTTGGGAAGGTTACCCCTAAAAACCTTGTGTTTGGTGAACTCAGTGAAGAAAGACGTCAACTCCTCTGGTGAAACACCAACTACTATTTTGCAACTTCTGCAGAGGTGGGTAAAGGGCCTGCAAAATAGCCTCTCTGTTCTCCTGGAGGTCAGTCTGTTGTGACAAATATAGCAAGCAGTGGCACAAATCAGAGGAGACCATAGCACTTTTTTCCCCAGAGCCTTCATTGTCACGGAAAATCTACACGCTAGAATACAGCTCCCTCCAAGATCCAGAGCAGCAACTGACACATCTCAGAGGAGCACATGGGGGAACAGTGACTGAGGCCATCATGAAAATCTCCCACTCTGGTGTAAAATAATGCTGGGTCCTTACTGTACATACCCAACAGACAATCCTGACGCTTTTGAAGCCCAATCTACCAAACTGTAGAGAGGACAAATAAAGGGAAGAAGTTACATGCTGTTTAAATCTCATGGAAGAGATTGACTTAGCCTTTCTGCTGCAAATAGATCATTCCCAGTAACAATTAAAATACTGTATGAAATAATCAGGGTAACATGGAGTCATCCTGCAGAAATCTTTCAGAGTAATTCAAATCAGAGTTCAAATTCAAAGCTAATATTGACTACCTTTAGAGGAAAATACACAAGATGGTTGGCTTGGGATTTAAAGAGTGATGGCAACAACAAAAATTGTTCTGCCTCAGTTTCTCCATCAATAAAATGCAAATAGTGGTATCTGCCCCTTTTCAGGAATTTTTGAAAGATCCATGAATGAGAAGCACTACTCCAAGAACTAACACCTGTATCAACTGATGAAATTCACTTGAAATCCTCCTCAAGGATCAGTGACAACAGAAATCAAAGGAATCGGATCATATGTAGGGGCAACAAGCTTTATAAACAGCACAACCTAAACACAGACGAGAATCTAATTGAAGTATCTGCAGGCTTGAGTATAAAAACGCATCTACCATCGAGAACCCATGCAAACAGCCCGCCTAAAGCAGTGCTGACACAGACTGGTTTGGGTGACATAAAACTGCACACACCAAGGAGAAATGAATGCTTCCCTCCCTAGGGAGCAGCAGGGAAGGGTCCTCACACCGACGCAGGTCTCAGGTACGGGTGACAATCCTGCCACCATCACCCCTAATTTCACGTCCACACCTCTGGCAGTGGGTACAGCTGGGGTAGTGCCTGGCCAGGCACACCTGGCTCCGGCTGGGGAACACTTGCCACCTCAAGCGGATTTTTTTTTTAATGTTTTCACCTCAGGGGTGCCCTCACTTGAGGCTCGGCCTCTGTGGGCGCCCTGCAGCTTCCTTCTTCTCCGAGGTGCTGACCCTGGCCTCAGCAGCGGGAAGCAGCCACCTGCCGGGGCCCGCAGGGAAAACGGGACAGTGCCTGGGCCCGGCAGCAGCCACCCCCTCCGGCAAAACCTTCTCCGCACACCCGCCTTTGCAACGGGGCCCGTGTGGGGGGGG